TGGACAGGCTTAGTGGGGAGTCAGGAGGTGAGTTACTTACCGCAGTATTCCTACTCTCTGACCTGCTCTTGTAGCTGCTGTGGTCACCTGATGTGGTTTGACCCACAATGCCATTGGGAGGGCTGAAATCAGGTTAGTAAAACAGAATATAATGTTACAGCAACAGAGAAGGTGCAGAGAAAGATCAACTCTAATATACGAGAGGTCCGTTCACAAATCTGATAACAGCAGAGAAGAAGCTGTTCAACATTGAATGTTTTCACGAAGGAGTTACATACAGCTAAAATTCCTACAGCACAGATAGAGGCCATTGAGACAGTATCAACCCTCCCACCCAGGCCCACACCCTATCCCCACATTTACCAGGGCTAACCCACCCAGCCTGCACATTGCAGGGCAATTCAACATGGCCAATCCACCCTAACCTGCACACCTTTGGACTGTGGGAGGAAAGCGGAGCACCCAGAGGAAACCCATGCAGGCATGAGAAGAACGTGCAAACTCCACACAGCCGCCCACAGAGGACGGAATCAAACTCGGGTTCTTGATGCTGTGAGGCAGCAGTGCTAACTGCTGAGCCGCCAAATTTCCCAGGGACTGCTCCGTCTGCAAAACTTTGGTCCACCTCTGCTTACGACTACTAACACTGTTTCACTTCCCATGCAATTGCATAAGATGTAGCACTTGACCTTTTGCTTCCTCTTTCTTCACTGTCCACAATATCAGAAGAAATAGAAACAAGAGTAGGCTGTTTGGCTTCGTAAATCTGCTATTCTATTCAATAGGATCACGGCTGATCCGACACTCCGGAAGTTTCCTGCCTTTTTCCCACAAAGTTTGATTCCCCTAATGATCTATCTATCCGTCTATCTATCTATCCATCTATCTCTTGCTGCATAAAAGACTTGAAAATTGAAAAAACCCAGTCTTTATATTCTCTCTTCGTTGCTGAATCTTTCGAGCCCAGGCTACGTCCTGGTGAATTTCCTCTGCACCCTCTCTCTCGTACAATCATATCCTTCTTTCTACTCCAACTTGGCTTAACTGATACTATATGCAGCTTCATCAGAACCTCCTTGCTCTTGTATTCAATGCCTTGTGTAATGAAGCTAAATGCCTTCTTTACCACCTTATCTTTCCGTCCTGCAAGGATCTATGGGCATGGTCACCAAAGTCCTGTTGACCCTCTGCACTCCCTAGGATCATACCATTCAATGTATAACCCGTTGGCTTGTTCGTCCTCCCAAAATGCATCATCTCACATTTTTCAGGATGAAATTTCACTTACCACTGTTCAGTCTATATGACTAGTCCATCCGTATTGTCCTGTAGACTGACAAATTTTGCCTTTGCGGCTATGGCTGATATATGTCATCCCCTCCTCCAGGCGGCGCTGTGACTGATGTAGTTCTCATCTCCTCCTCTAAATGGCGCTGTAACTGGCCTCATCACCTCCTCTAGAAGGGGCTGCAATTGGTCATTCCCTCCTCTAAATGACGCTGCGACTTACCTCATCCCCTCCTCTAGATGGTGCTGTAAGTGGTATATATCTCATTCCCTCCTTCAAATAGCGCTGTGACTTACCTCATCCCCTCCTCTAGATGGCGCAGTATACATGCCCCCATGATGCCAGAAGGCGGTGGCACCGAAGGAGCATCACTTGCTAGGTTTTGTGGTCCTCCCATCCTGCTGGTGGCGCTGAGAAATAGAATTGACTGGTGGACCCGACCTGCAGCAATTCATTGGAATGGGCATCATGGGCAAGTTTTAACTTTCTGAAACAAAAATTAAAAATTAGATTCTGCAACATATTTGAGAAACATTTTTACCCTGTAAGTGAGTAAAGAAATTACATTTGACAATTTTGAATGGATTATAAAATGTCAACCCTAAAGATTGGTTCCCATCCCAGGAGAATTTCATTCACAACTTCATGTTACACCAAGGCTTTCATGGCCAATACAGTGCAACGTTCCCTCAGTACTGACCCTCCAACATTGCAGTGCATCTTCAGCGCTGACCCTCTGACAGGGCAGCACACCTTCAGCACTGGCCGTCCAATAGTGACTGCACCCTCAGCATGGACCCACCAACAGTGCAGCGCTCTGACAGTGAGGCGCTCCCTTAGCACTAACCCTCCAACAGTGCAGCGCTCCCTCATCACTGACCCTCTGATATTGTGGTGCTCCCTCAGTGCTGATTCTCTGACAGTGTGGCACTCCCTCGTCACTGACCCTCCGACAGTGCAGCACTCCCTCATCACTGACCCTCTGATAGTGTGGTGCTCTCAGTGCTGACCCTCTGACAGTGCAGTGCTCCCTCATCACTGACCCTCTGATAATGTGGTGCTATCTCAGTGCTGATCCTCTGACAGTGCGGCGCTCCCTCAGCACCGACCCTCTGACAGTGCGGCGCTCCCTCATCACTGACCCTCTGATAGTGTGGTGCTCTCTCAGTGCTGAT